AAACATCTTTCTGATATTCTCTTTCAGCCAAGATCCATTTGACGTCAGAAATGATATTCCCCGTTTCACGTGCTCTTGTGAATCAACTTGAGTTTCTGGCTATCAAAGTACTTTTGCAGCTGTTTTTAAATTATCATCTGTAAAATTCTGTTTGTAGGTTACTGTACCAATAACAGTGATGATTTCAACCTTCTGTTGGGCCACCTCTCTTTGGAATGGACACAAATATAGATCTCTTCTAATAGGTTGGGCAGGTAGCTGTTTTCTATATTTCTTGACATATATGAGTTAGTACCTCTAGTACCTTCAGTGCAGCTTGGACTTTTTCTTTTAGTTCCATTAATTTTTTATCATATGCTACCTCTTGAAATAGCTGGATAGCTACCATTTCTTTTTTGGTACAGTGAATCTGTGTATCCTTTCCATATTCTTTTGATGCTTTCTGCATCCTTCAATATTGCAACCCGAGGCTTAAATTTTTTCTTCAAGTCCCTCAGCTTGGAAAATGGTGAGCATGTTCTTTCCTTTTGGTTTTCTAATGCCAGTTCTTTGTACATTTCATTATAATACTTGGCTTTGGTCTTCTTGAACTGCCCTTTGAAATTTTCTGTTCAGCTCTTTGACTTCCTCCTTTCTTCCATTCACTTTAGCATTTCCATGTTAAAGAGGAAAGTTCAAAGCATCTTCTGACATCTATTTGGGCCTTTTCTTTCTTGTAAACACTCTACAGGGGTCACTATGAGTTGGAACAAACTCAGTGGCACTTATCAATAACAGTAAATGAGTTGCTCTTTAACATTATCTAAGATGTTCCAGAGTAAAATAGTGGCAACCTGGGAACTCACTGTAACCATGGCAATTGGATTAGGTAAACAGAAACAGGTTGAATAAGAGAACCTTGAAAGCTATGCAGTAGAGTTTGGACTAGTTTACAGCAAGGAAGTCATGATTAAAGTTTCAGAAGAGTATTTTTACATATTGATTTTTCTCTAGTCTTCTATACTAGATTACACTGTTATCACTGCTTTCTTCCTCTGTTTAACCCTTGAGATTAAGAATTTAAGTAGGATTAAGAATGGGAAATTTCTGATTCCTACAGCAAAACTCTAAGGAGCCCTAGTGGCACAGTAGTTAACAGTGCTTAGCTGCTAACTGAAAGGTTGATGGTTTGAATCTACCAGCCAATTGGCAGGAGAAAGACGTAGCAGTCTGCTACTGTAAAGATTTATAGCCATGGAAACCCTATGGCAACAACTCTAGTCTGTCCTATAGGCTCACTGTGAGTCAAAAATGAACTCATTAGCAGTGGATGGGACAGAGTAACTCCAGGACCTTTACCAAGTACTATTCTTTGAGGTTATTCTAAAAGTTAAATGAAGAAAGACACATCTTAAATCTTAAAAAACAGATTAAAATATAACCAATTTTCGAAATACGTACCCATCTGTTAATATTGAATATTTATACTTTGTTCCTAATTCCTTCAATTTCATCCAGTCAATTACTTTTTTCAGTACCTGAGGGAAGGTATCTGCGCTATCCACCTGATCCTGAAGATATAAAGATACATAAAAGTCAGGGAAACTCTAAGTAGTGCAATAAAACAATCAGACATTAGAAGGATATGGCTAATAGGAGAAAGCATTATCTATGTTTTAAACTCTTTATCAGTTCCTTGGTTTAGATCCATCTAAAGCTTCATTTTTTTAAGATAATTAAAAAATTATTTATAGCCAAATACTCTTTAATCACAATATGCAACACTCCAAAAACAAAGCTCATCCCCAAGTGGTTCTCCTTTTATAGGTCTCAACCTAGTGGCTTACCGATTCTCCAGAGTGGAGAAAATGGAAATCTATTCTTAGCTCTAAGCTAACAACTCCTAATGCGCTCTCCCAATCTCAAATCTCATACCTTTCTATACCATATTCCACACCACTGCCAAATTGATCTCTCTAAAACATACATCACTTTACTCTGAATCGTGAAATCCTCCAGATACTGCCCAAGGCTTCTAGAAAAACAAGACACATAAGATCCTTTGTGATCTGGCTCGCCTCTGTATACTTCTTTATTTCTAACCATTTTCTTACTATCCCATACACATTTGAACTGAATTAACTGGAGTCTGTCATTTCTTTCACGTGTTAACATGCGCAGCCATTCTTTTCTTACTTAACTACTATGGCTCATCCCAAGTACACCAAATTAAGGAAGCTTTTGTAGAACACATGCCCATTCCCTATCTCACATGGAAACCCTTTTTATAAATGACCACTGTTGTTGAGGGTGAGTCAACGCCAGATCACAGCAAACTAGCATAGGGTTTTTGAGGAGCGGCTGGTGGATTTAGACCAACCTTGCAGTTAGTAGTCCAGTGCTTACCCTAAAGCACTATACCAGAAATCTCTAAATTAACCATGTTGTTAAGTGCCACCAAGTCAGTTCTGACTTGTAGTGACCCTGTAAAGGGTTTCTGAGGAGCCACTGGTGGGTTTGAACTGTCAAACGTGTGGTTAGCAGTCCAGTGCTTATCCTACAGAGCTATGCCAAAACTTCAAATGGCCATAATAATCTCATAAAGTCCTCCAAACCATACTGCTTCCAATGGTCTATTTCTCTGACTTACAGACTGTAAATACGCTGACTTGACTGTTTTTATATACCTTGTTGTTAAGGGCCATCAAGTCAGTTCTGACTCACAGCAACACTGTATAGCATTTCCAAAGAGCAGCTGGTGGGTTTGAACTCAACCTTGTGGTTAGCAGTGCAGTGCTTATCCTAAAGTGCCACACCAGTGCCTAGCGTAATGACCCTGATGGTGCAGTGGTTAAGCCCTCAGCTGTTAAAAACAAAAGCAGTGTGAAACCCCCAGTCAGTCCAGGCAGAAAGCTGTGACAGCCTGCTTCTGTAAAGACTACAGTCTTACAGCAATTCCACTGTCATGATGTTATTATGGTTAGTGTCTTAGCAAATATTATAGTAGGCACTCAAATAACTCAAAATTGAAGAGACTGAAAAAAAAAAAAAAAAAAAAGGCTATATATAAAGTTATAAACTGAAATATTTTTAAACTGCACCTATAAGGTTCAGTATATTATCACTTTATTAATGCTCATTATCTTAATGAGAAGAGTTTTACAAGGTAGTAAATTTGTGTGTTTTTTTTTAATATTACAATGTGAATGAAATGTGCAAAACAAGTATATTATTTACAATAATAGTAATGGTTTCAAACTATCTACAAAACAAACGCCAAATTTCAAAACTTTCAAAATCTAGAAAAAAGAACAGAGAAATAAAACCTGAGTAATTCCAGTAAGACTGATGCAGAAATCAGAAAGTTGGGTGTTAACCTCTGGTCTCACATACTGCTGAAATGTATCTTCCTACAAGACAAAGATATTGCATTAAAGCATTTTATAGGCATATGATACATAAACAAATTCAGTCACGAGGCAATAATTTAAAATGAAGGAGTTTCAGAAAGTTCATGGGAAAAAATCTACTCAATGAAACTTTGTAAATTTTACACCCTTATAACCATCAATATTTTGTTTTATAGTTTCACACCAAAAAATATGTTAACTTTCCTTACCATTATAAGCAGCTAGTGCTAAATATAACGAATATTAATAAAACTTATTCTGCTAAAATATACTTTTAAACAGAATGATGTAACAACGAGCTATTATTCATTTACCAAATATTTAAAAATCATATATATAAATTACATATTAAGTTAAAATGCTATAAAAACTATTAAAAATAAAAAAGGAAAAATAGAGCAAGCCAAGAGAATCAAATGTTGAGTGTATTTGGGTGCTTAAGCTACAATACTAAACAGGATATGAGACAGGTTTTATTCAGGTGAAATTAAAGGAAGGCTGGAATTAGCCAGCAAGTTATCCAGGGGAAGAAAACCACAGCCAAATTTTGGAGGTGAGGGAGAGGCATGCTTCACACTTTGAAGAAACAGATAGAGGATACCATGGCTAGATTGAAATATGGGATAGACAACAATAATAAAAAAAATAATGAGAGTAAGCAATCTCCCTTACTAAAGTAACATAAGAAACAGAGGCCTGATCATAGAAGGAGATTCAAAATGTTTGTGGAAACATTTCATTATCCTTTTATTCTATTTTCCATGAACTTTTTGAAACCCCCTTCTATAAGGAATGGCTTTTATTCCAAGTTAAATACAAAGTCATTGCAAGGTTTTGAACAGAGAAATGATCTGTTTTGTATTGGGAAGGGATTACACTACCGACTATGTTGAGAAGTGGCTGTAGGGGGACCTGGATAGACATACATGACATGTTACATGGTGACTGCACTAATTCCAGACAAGAAATGAGTGGACTCACACTAGTCATAGCAATGTGTGAAATGGCTGGGTACTGGGTGTATTTTGAAGTCAGAGTCAAACAAAAGACACTGTTGGCCTGGGTGTGGGATATGTCAGAAACACTAAAGTCAAAGATGAGTACAGTTAAAAAAATGTATAGTCACTAAATTAGGGAAAGATGAATATAGAAAAAGCAAGAGCCAAGTTCAGTTTTGGACATGTTGTGTTTAAGACATTTACATTTTTAAGTAGAGATATCAACAAAGCAGTCTGGATTTGGAACAGAAGTCCAGGTTAAAGGGAGATATTTAGAAGTCATCAACATAGAGTTTGAAAACTATGGAACTGGATGAGCTCTCATCAAGGGAAGATGTTTACAGAGAAGAGGACCTAGGATGAGTCCTGCTGTTAACTTGGTTTCGACTCATCACAACCCTGTGTAGGGTTTCCAAAGAGTGGCTGGTAGGTTTGAACCATCGACCTGTGATTAAAAGTCTAGTGTTTATCCAGAATAAGCCCTGGGCATCCAATATTAAGCAGCTGGAAAAAAAAAAAGGAATCAACAAAGGAATCTGAGAAAGGGCGACAACTGAGGTTAGAGAAAAATCAAAAGAATGAGTTTTGCTGGCAGTCACTTGAAGAAAGTGTTTCAAGAAGAAGCAAGTGGTCAATTCTGCTAAGTGCTAGCAAAATAAAAGAGGCTTTGAAGATCCTTAAGAAAAATCTATGCATTTTAATGCATGAAGCCTTTTTAAACACCTTCCCAGTGTACTGGTAGCAGCTGGGGATATCACAAAAGTGGCATGTGACTAGATGAGATGTTAGACTAGATGAGATGTTATGGTATCCTTTACCAAATTTTGCAAGGCACACTATATTCTTGTTATAAGGATTTCCTGATATGACTTTCAGAATAACATGGCAACAAGTATCTGACGTGTACATCATCCATCTTAGAAGTCAAGGTTATATAAATCATTTTCCATATAAATATTTCACCAAATGCTTACTGGGGCAGATTCTAGGAAGATGGGCAGTTTTAAGTTGGAAGGTGACTTTTACAAATTACCTTTCTGATAGATCGAAGTTTATATTACTCTTCAGCAGTGGTTCTCAACCCTGACTGCACATTAAAATCAACTGAGACGCTTAAAAGCAAACAAACAAAAAACCAATGCTGATGTCAGGGTCACCACCACAGAACTAAATCAGAATCTCTGGTATAGGTGCCAGGCATCAGTACTATCTTTAACTCCCCAGGTTAATATAATGTCCAGCCAGGTATGTGTTCTAAGCAACCTAACAGGTAAAACACTATAGCTTTAGTGCTTGAAAAGAAGCAAAGACTCTGAAATTATATTATTATAGCTTCTCTAATAATCAAGTGGATGCACAGAACATAGCAAGAACAAAAAGCCTACCTCAGAATTTTAATTCTAGTGAAAATCAGAATAAATAATAAAAACCCAAACCCTTTGCTGTTGGGTCAATTCAGACTCACAGCAGAACTGACCGTAGTTTCCAGTGACAAAAATCTTTAAGGAACCAGAGTGATAGTCCTTTCTTCCACCAAGTGACTGGTGGGTTCGAACTGTCAAACTTTTGGTTAGCAGCTGAACCAAGGTACTTTGAACACTAGAATAGTTTCTGCTAAAGATATTATTAAAATGTAACAATTTACTTACTATTTCTAAGGTATGAGTATTCAGTAAGACAACAGGAAATTCAATTATTTCATGTATGAACTCAGGTGGGTTACCCTCTTCACAAGTTGCTTCAAAGTCAATAATACAAATGTAGTCATAGTAACTGCTGGCACAACTGTCCTCTTTCAACATCAGCTTCTGTTTCTTACAATAGTTCTTCAGCCTCTTCTTTAATACATCCTTTACACCTCTAAGAAAGAATAAAAAAAAAAGTTCACACAAAACATCCATATCTTTTAATCCCATATTTCCACAAACTTTATGAAGCCCCTTGTATATGAAGACATACATGACACAAAGACTAAAATTAGTATTGAAAGATTCCATTGGCCAAATACAAATTTCAGAGTATGACAATTCTGGTAAACTGAACATACTGCTATCTCGTTCATTTCTTCTGGCTCTTATTAAATTTAGTTATTAAGTGCTGGTGAGTTCTAAGTCATCACGATCCTGTATAGAGTTTCTGAGAACGTGAATCTTTGTCGGAACAGAAAACCTCATCCTTGTCCTGCAGAGCAGCTTGTGGGCTCGAATAATTGACCTTGTTCACAGTCCACTGTTTACAGAGCCATTGCACTCCCTCTTATTATGGTGATGTTGTCGTTAAGTGCAGAGGAGTTGGTTCCTACTCATGTTGCTGTTGTTAAATGCTGCTGAGTTGGTTCCAACCCATAGCAACTCCGGATAGGGTTTCCGAGGAGCAGCTGGCAAGCTTGAACCACCGATCTTGAAGTTCAAATCGACTTTTCAGTACAGCACATTAACCTACAGCACCACATCCCTCTTATTAGGTTGTTGTTGTTATTAAGTGCTTTGGAGTTGGTTCTGACTCATGTGGACCCTGAATGGGATTTCCAAGGCTGTTAATCTTTATAGGTGCTGAAAGTTTCATCTTTCTCCAATGTCTCATTAGGTTGTTGTTAAGTGCCATCGAGTAGGTTCTGACCCATAGTGACCCTGTACAGGATTTCCAAGGCGCAACTGGTGAGCTTGAACCACTGAACTTACAGTTCAAACGGCTTTCCAGTCTGGCACATTAACCCACAGTACCACACCAGCATTCCCTTATTAGGTTAGACAATTGAAAAAACAACAACTATAAATTATAAGGTTAGCTTATACAAGCTATTGGCTATTAGCTATTTTATTTAAAAAGCTAACTGAGAAGGGACCTTAAAATAAACTGTCTCCAGAGGAACACTGCCATACTCAATAGGTACTTAATCAGCAGTGGGTTTCTTAATTTACCATGGGTAGAATATAATTTAGGTGTCTTGGTGTGGTGCTGCAGGATAAGCACTGAACTGTTAACCACAAGGTTGGCAGTTCAAACCAACCAGCTGCTCCACAGGAGAAAGATGAGTCTTTCTGTTCTATAAAGATTTACAGCCTTGGAAACTCTACACAGTAGACAAACTGTAAGGCATTCCCTAAACAGATAGCGTTTCTTCAGGCTCTATAAACTTGATTGTAGAAAATAGGGGAATATCATGTAACAGAAAAAATCCAAACAAGAATTAGTCTACAATACCCTTCTTTTCTGTTTGACATATCAGTGAAAATGTCACATTCCTGACTTCATGAGTAGATGATCCGCTATTCTCATGGTGTGCTTGGCCAGATTTCCAGTACAGCACTTGTCACTCTGTATGGAGATTATCTGTGTTTCCCAAAAGACTGAGCTATCCACCCAACCCACTGCCATCAAGTCAATTCGACTCTTAGCAGTCCCATATAGGGTTTCCAAGATTAGCAATCTTTATAGGAACAGACACAGCTTCATATTTATTCCTAGGAACAGGGGTAGTTTTTGAACTGCCACCCTTATGGTTAGCAGGCCTACACCTAACCTATAGTGCCACCAGGGCTCCCCACTATCCAAAGTGAGGAACATATCTGTGTTTACCTTTACAATGTCATGCTTAGTGTACTTAGAATTCATTGTGTGCTTATTAAATAAATGTATAAATACACATGTCGAACTCTAGCTCCCATGCAAGCCAGGAGTAACAACTGATCTAACCTGAGAAGAACAAAAATTCTGCTAAGACAATTTTCTGTAATTTATAGGCTGTACCTTCATAATAGGGGAAATGAGATGAAAATTTGTTTCACAAAGCATGATGCAGGCAATTCAGAAGGGTAAAAATATTACTTGTTTTCATTGGAAAAAATAGTGATGTTCCATTTTGAAGCAGTGATGACTGTAACTTGTATTTACAAGAAAATAGGGTGCTTAGCACGCCTTGAAACAATAGTTTTCAAATACTACATGCATAATTTTCCTTAATTCCTGGCATTATATTGTCTATCAAACATCTACCAAAGGTCTTTCCTGTCTCATGTCCCAAGAAACGTATCTCTGAAAGTACAAGTTTACTCAAAACAAAGTGATCTATTTTGCAAAAAATTGTTTTAACTATATCTAACTGGAGACACACACACAAGTTGGCAAAGCTGAACTGTTTTGTTCATTCAGTAAACACAATGCACACTATCATTCTCAATGTTCCTGAGGAGTTCTGGTGGTGCAGAAATTAAGCACTTGGATGCTAACCTAAAGTTAAGTGGTTGGAACCCATCAATCACTCTCAGGAGAAAGATGTGGTAGTCTGCTTCATAAAGACTTATAGTCATATTAGCCTTACAGGGAGTCCTGGTGTGGTGCTGCAAGATAAAGCACTGGAATGCAAAGTCAGTTTGAACCACAAGGTCGGTGGTTCAAACTCACCAGCTGCTCCTCAGAAACCCTATACAGGGTCAACTATGAGTGACTTTGTAAGGCACTTAACAAGCCGTGATGAACAGTACTCTGTCCTACAGGCACACTATTAGTCGTTTGGTTGTTTTTTTTGTTTTCCTTTGGGGGAGGGGATGGGGGTATTTAAAAACTAAAACCCAAAAAAATTTCCTGATAAATGATTTTATACATTACCTGATTTCAAACAAGCCTACTTTATAAAAACAATACAAATGGCCAAAAGAAAATATCCAGCCACATTAATAATTTCAAAAAGAGAAAAAGATATACTTACCCATTAAGTAAAAAAGTAACCAAAAAATAAAAGCACACTTGATGTGACAATGACAAGATTTTAAGTGCCACAGAGTCAGTTTCAACTCACAGTGATCCCTGTATAGGAGCAGCTGGTGAGTTCAAACTGCCGACCTTGTGGTTCAAACTAACCTGTGGTCCAGCGCATTATCCAGCAGCACCACACCAAGACTCCCTATTTAACCTGATAGACACAGACTCAGCACTTCTATTTTCAACATCTAATAGACTGACAGAAATAATGACTTGTACACCAAAGTTCCTGTAGAAGGATGAAAATTAGTGTTACCTGCATTGCTAGGACAGGTTTACAGATGTTTTCTTACCTTTAGTGTTTTAAGATTTTGTATAATAAGTATATATTACTTTTATGATTTTAAAAAGGTAATTTATTACCTGGTTTCAAGCTTGAATTCTGAAAGTTTAGCTCTGAGTTCTTCCTTACTCATTCTATTAATACAACCATTGGTAATAGCAATCTCTTTGTAAACTGGGTCACTGAAGTCACCTGCACTGGAGCTAGTGCATTTAGTTCCTTTTGTGTCTTGGCCATCCAACCTACATCGCTGCTTTCTCTATGAAACAAAAAAAAACAAAAGAGAAAATAGAATTCAAATTAGTAAAACCATCCTAAATTTAAAGATTTAAACTAGAGATCTCTTCTTGATGGATGTTAAGTGAAAAGTGGCCACTGCAGCTACTGAAGAGTGTGCAGGATAGAAGATACATATCCAATAGAATCAATCCTGCTCTATTCAGACTATGAGGTTCCTTCTGAAAGGGAATTGAAGCTAAATATAAAGAGCACTTTCCCAGTGATCCCCAGCTGACCATTTCTAGCAGAAGTTGCTGTTGTTACGTGCCGTGGACTCGGTTCCGACTCATAGTGACCCTGCTGTACAGGGTTTCCGAGCCTGTAAATCTTTACGGGAGCAGAAAGCCTCATCTTTCTCCCGCGGAACAGCTGGTAGTTTTGAACTGCTGACCTTGCGGCTCACAGCCCGATTCGTAACCACTATGCTACCAGAGCTCCTTTAGCAGTAGAAGTAGTAGCATTATTTATTAGCCTCTGATCTTCAGTTTATCCATAAAATAAAGCATAACAACTGTCCTAGAAAGTATTTGATAATGGTAAGGAACACTTGTGAGGTAGTGGTTAAGTAAATGGCTATTAAATGGAGTCCTGGTATGACAATATAGGGTAAGCACTGGACTGCTAACCACAAGGTTAATGGTTCAAACTCATCAGCCACTCCTTAGAAACCTTACCAAAAAATGACTCAAC